GAGGTGGGGGGCGGAGACTGTTCGCTGCCGGGAACCGACACTCCCCCCGGCCCCGCGTTCCCTCAACGCTGTCCCCCTCCCCGCGGACCCCTCGGTCCCGACTGCGATCTCAGCCCCGGCCATTCCCGCGCCCTGGCCTCGCTCGGCGATGCCCATCCTTCGCCTCCTTCCTGCAGACCCCGCTCCCGGGTTCCTGTCTCCAGTACCCTCGCCCGTTCAACCCTTCCCCGCCCACGCCCTCCCTCTGCCCCCACCCCCTCCTTCTATCCCGGCGCCTCTCTCCCTCGTCGGCTCCTGTCACTTGGAAGCCGTGTCCGTGCCGCTATTTCCGCGTCCGATCGCCTTGCAGCCGGTGCCGTCCCACAGGTGTCCTCACGTCTGGCCGTCCATCTGTCCGTCCCTCCTGGGGCCGGCGCTGACCATGCCCAGCGGCTGCCGCTGCTTACATCTCGTGTGCCTGTTGTGCATCCTGTGGGCACCCGGTCTGCCTGCCCGAGGTGAGAGCGCCCCCGGGCTCCAGTCGCAGCCCTGCCCGGGTGTCCTCACTTGCACGTTGCCCTCTGTCGGCCACAGACGGCACCGCAGCCGCTCCGACCCGCGGGTCTGGAGAGGACCAGGTCGCCCCTTTGGAATGGGATGGGTCTCTGTGCTGCACTGTCCGATAACTGAGACCACCAAATTACTGGAGCCCTGAATCGTCTCCCGAGTCCCGCATCCCAAGGAGCCTTTCCCTGACCATGACTCCCCTCTCCCACACCAATTTCTTGCAGCCGATGACTGCAGCTCCCACTGTGACCTGGCCCACGGTTGCTGTGCCCCTGACGGCTCCTGCAGGTATCTATCCTAAGCACGTTCCCCAAACCTTTTGCTCCCCATTTCTCAGTCCTCCACATCCACAGCCAGGTCAAGCCCAGGACAGAGTATCAAGGGGCTTAAGACCTTAACCTACTGTTCACCTCATTGCCCCTTATGGCACACAGGGCAGACTGGCCAGCCTCCCCCCACCCCACCTCCGTTTCCCTTTGCTTTGCCCCTTTTTTGCTTCTTCTAGCTTATATCTCCCCCACTTCTTTACTCTCCCAAGTGTGATTCAGGGATTCTGAAACATCGCTCCTCAAGGCACCAGGAGAGAGACCTGAAGCTTGAGAGTTTGGAGATTGGGAGCCAGGAGGAAAGGGGGAGATTAAGGGATAAAGAGAAGTGTTTTGGCCTGGAAAAGAAAGGCTGCAGGGAGGGTTGCTGGGGAGGAGCACTTACGATGAAAAAAGATCTTTCTTGATGAATCTGAGTAATTGACTCACTGTGGTGGAGGTGGGGCAAATTCTGTAGCAGGAGGAAAGTGTCTGGACACAAGGAAATGAGCAGACGGGGCAAGTTGCTTACTGGGCTGGAGGGCTTTCAGACTCTACATCCTTGGAAGGCTTTTAAAAAGTAGGTCAGGCTTTTGCCCTGGAATGAGATGGGAAGATAATCCTGATGACCTTTCAAAGTCACTCTTTTTTAAATGTTTGTGAGCACCTCAGACATGCCAGAAGTGGTATTGGAGGCATTTACAGACATTATCATATTTCTTCCTTAACACAACCCTGCAAGGTATATCCTAGATTAACACATGAGAAAGCTGAGGCTGAGAAAAGTTAAGTACAGAACCAGGACTTGAATGCTGGTGTCTGATGGTCTGATTGCATGTATATCCTATGACTCTGCACAGCCGTACACTTAGCTGAGACAGGTCTGCTTTTCCTTAAGGGCTGTCCTATGTCCTCCTGGTTTCTAGATGCTTTGTCCCTGCCTTCTTCATTTCCTCATTCCCGACCAGAGCCTGACCCTGTGTTTCTCCCATCAGGTGTGACCCAGGCTGGGAGGGGCCGCACTGTGAGCACTGTGTGAGGATGCCTGGCTGCCAGCATGGGACCTGCCACCAGCCCTGGCAGTGCATCTGCCTCAGTGGCTGGGCGGGCAAGTTCTGCGACAAAGGTAGGGGGAGGGAGGGCAGTGGTGGCTGGCACCCCTTTTGTCTTCAGAGAACATCCATCCATATTTATTGAGCACCTACTGTGTCCTGTTTAAACCCTCAAATACATAGCATTTTATCATTTCTGATTTTATACCTATCTGTTGTCTGAACTGATCTCAACATAACCCCATGAGGTAGGAAAGGCAGCTGCTAAAAATTGTACTCATTTTACAGATGAGGAAACTGAGGCCCACAGAAGAACTATCACTTGCCCAAAGTCAGTTTGAGACAGACCGAAAAAGCCAGAACCAGGAGACTCCTGACTCCAAGTGTCATATTGTCATTTCCCCCCAGCACCCCATTACCAGCTTGGGATGGGTTTATAGTATAAGCCACACTCACAGAGCCTTGGGTCTGGAAGGCCTGGTCAAGTGGGGCCTGGGCAGTTCTGGGGACCAGATGTGAGGGGCTATCCCAGAGTCTCCTGTCTCCTCTCCAGATGAGAGCATCTGCACCATGCAGTCCCCCTGCCAGAACGGAGGCCAATGCGTGTATGATGGGGGTGGTGAGTACCACTGTGCATGCCCAACAGGCTTCTATGGGCATGACTGCGAGCGCAAGTCTGGACCCTGTGAGCAGGCAGGGTGAGTGCTGGGCCGTGGGGCGAGTGGGAGGCTAGACCAGAATCTGGTGATGGGATGAGGAAAGAGGCAGGACTGTTGAGAGGGTGGAGAGCTGAGGGTCAGACCCACGTGGGGGCACTCTAGGATAAAACCCCAGCATGCCAGTGTCCCTAGTTCAGGGTTTCTCAGCTTTTTCTGTACCTTCTGAACCTTTTTAATTTTTTTTGGTGGCTGGCCAGTACAGGGATCTGAACCTTTGACCTTGGTGTTATTGGCACCACACTGTAACCAAGTGAGCTATCTGGCCAGCTCTGAACCATTTCTTCAACAATGACAATCTATAAGAGCTAGAGGTGTAACAGATAAATGTGTGACTGCTCTGGTTGGGGAAGATGGGCGTGTGAGGGTTGAGGGAGCTATGACTCCCCTCATCCTCCCACGAAAGCTGGAGTGCAGCCCTTAAAGATGTTCCACACAGAAGCCTTGTTCCTCATTGTGTGGATGGGAAATGGTCGCAGGGCTGGACTTGTGGTCCTCATTTCTACTTCAGGCCTAAGAGCTTCTGAGGATAACAGCACACTTATCCTGAGCCCAACATTTGGGATAGACCCTGTGCTACCTGCTTGACACTGGATTATCTCATTGAACCCTCACAATTTGCGAAGCTGGGTACTACTTTTATTCTCACTTTTTTTTTTTAAAAAGATGACCGGTAAGGGGATCTTAACCCTTGACTTGGTGTTGTCAGCACCACGCTCACCCAGTGAGCTAACTGGTCATCCCTATATAGGATCCGAACCCGTGGCCTTGGTATTATGAGCACCGCACTCTCCCGAGTGAGCCACGGGCCGGCCCCTTATTCTCACTTTTAAAATGAGACATTTGAAACTCAGAGTGGCCCAAGGTGACATAGCTGTGTGGGGGAAGCAGTCAGGATGCTGACCTGGGCTACACTGCAGGTGTTAGTAAGTCGGTATCAATGTCCTGATCCACTCCAGCTCCCCATGCCGGAATGGCGGGCAGTGCCAGGACGACCAGGGCTTTGCCCTCAACTTCACGTGCCGCTGCTTGGCAGGCTTTGTAGGAGCCCATTGTGAGGTGAATGTAGACGACTGCCTGATGCGGCCTTGTGCTAATGGTGCCACCTGCCTCGACGGCATAAACCGCTTCTCCTGCCTCTGCCCTGAGGGCTTTGCTGGACGCTTCTGCACCATCAACCTGGATGATTGTGCCAGCCGCCCGTGCCAGAGAGGGGCCCGCTGTCGGGACCGTGTCCACGACTTCGACTGTCTCTGCCCCAGTGGCTACAGTGGCAAGACTTGCGAGCTTGTCTTACCTGTCCCAAACCCTGCCACCACACTGGACACCCCCCCAGGGCCCACCCTGGCTGTGGTGGTACCTGCCACAGGGTCAGCCCCCCACAGTGCAGGGGCTGGTCTGCTGCGGATCTCAGTGAAGGAGGTGGTGCGGAGGCAAGAGGCCGGGCTGGGCGAGTCTAGCCTGGTGGTCTTGGTAGTGTTTGGGGCCCTCACTGCCACCCTGGTCCTGGCCACCATGTTGCTGACCCTGAGGGCCTGGCGCCGGGGTGTCTGCCCCCCTGGACCCTGTTGCTACCCTGCCCCACACTATGCCCCGGCGCACCAGGACCAGGAGTGTCAGGTTAGCATGCTGCCAGCAGGGCTCTCCCTGCCATCTGAGCTGCCCCATGAGCCTGGAAAGACCACAGCACTGTGACGGAGGTGGGGGCTTTGCAGCCCCCTTTCTCACTTCCTCCATCCCTCAGACTGGAGGGGTCCTCTCGCCACCCCTCAGCTCCAGTACTCGCTGAGAGGACCTCAGCCTCACATCAGAAATATTATTTTTTTAATACACAGAATGTAAGATGGGATTTTATCAAATAAAACTATGGTAATGCAAGTGGGCTCCTATGCCAGAAAAACCTGCCTGGTGTCCCAGCAGCAAGAGGGCCAGAGTAAAGGCCTGGTTCTGGGGAAGACTCAGGACTCTGCCCACAAAAGAGTTATTTTCAAAGAGGAACCTGGGATGTGCTTTTCTCCTCTGGGGAAGTGAGAAAGAGGTAGAGTCACAGAGGAAAATGTAAACAAGCAGCCAGCACCTCTGTGCTGGCCCAGCCTTGGATCAGATAGATCGGATGAAGGGTAGAACCCACTGCGTGGAGATCGAGCTCAAGGCCTCAGGGAGAAAAGTGGGCTCCCTGCTGGCTGCTCTGCAACAGCTGCTGGAACAGAGAGTGGGGCTGGTTGCGCAGGGTGGCAGGGGAGTCCAGCTCGGCGACCCTGCCCGCTTGTAGCACCAGTACCCGGTCTGAGTTCAGGATAGTGTTGAGCCTGTGGGAGAAGATGGTCAGTGTGGTGCATGGGAAACAATGCCCTAAAGGAGACAGCTGATCTGCTTCCCTTCCTCTCCCCTCCAGACAGCACGAGTCTGTCCCCACAGACTTTAGCCCCTTGCTCTGTGCTGAGGGAGGCACTGCAATGTTCCTTCAGTGCCTGGAGAATAAGGAGCTGAGATTGTGACGTGGGGGCGATCTCTAGGGCCCTGACCTCTGGGGTCCCTGAAAGGAACAGAGGCTCTGGGTCCATGCCACCACAGTCCCTGATGAGACTGTCACTCAGGATACCTGCACACCTGTGGGCAATGGTCAGCACTGTCCTGTTGGCAAAGCGTCTGCTGATGGTCTGCTGGAGCAGCTGGTCTGTCTTCTGGTCCACGCTTGCTGTGGCCTCATCAATACACAGGATCTGTAATAATATGAAAACGGTTTTCTCCTTCTTTCCCTGCAAGGTACAGCCTACTGTTTTGACTTTCCAAGTATACCTAGTCATCTTTTAAAATGTAAAACAGTCATCAGAAAAATGGAGGGTTGCTTTCTCTGTGCAATGCACTTGACTACCCGAATTATGAGGGACTTTTATATATTCATATGTTTAAAAGTCAGCAACTCTCCTGTTTCTTTATTGAATGTACTGTAAATGAAGTCTTTTGCAATTAAAGTGAGATTTGCCCATAAAAAAAAAAAAAACGCAGGATCTGGAATGTGTGGAGGGGTTGGGGGAGCAGAGGCTATAGGGTAGGCTGGACTGGGCCCAAGCACCGGCCTCCACCTCCAGGCTCAGCACAGCACACCCTACAGTTCTCTACCTCCAACTCCAGCTCTAAAAGGAAAATTAACTTGGTCCTGAAACATCTCCTTAACCCACCTCCTCACCCTGACATGTCCCCTGCCTCCTTCCTGGTCCTCTCAGATGTCTTCTTCTCCCTTACCTTGGCATCAGTGAGGAGAGCCCTGGCCAGACACAGCAGCTGCCTCTGACCCAGGGACAAGGTCCGGCCCCCCTCGCCTAGCTCACCATCCAGACCACCTGCAAGGCACAGCATCTTCACCACGGGGTCGCAGGCCTCTTCCTGCTCCCTCCCTGCTCTCAGGGTCAGGACCCAGCACTCACCCATGGATACAATCACCTCGCTCAGGTGGCACTGCTCCAGGGCTTGCCACAAGGCCCTGTCCTTATGTAGGCCCCGGGGGTCCAAGTTTTCCCGAACAGTCCCACTGAACAGAAAGGGCTCCTGGGGTATGATAGCCAGCTGGGACCTGGGGGACAAGGATATGAGTCCAGGCTGGAGATGTGGCCACTTCTGCTCCCAGCACAGGTTTTAGCTATAGGGCTAGCACCTCCAGGAAAGCCTGGGATGAGACCTGAGCATAAGCCCCACTCTGCTCCCCACCCCATCCCCACCAAATGGCCAGTTAGTCAGCCGTGTACGTAGAACTGTGCCAGTGCTATGAGAAACACCAAAGAAACCAAAGGCCTAGATTCTGTCCTTAAGGAGCCTGTTTCTCAGTGATATACAAGAAAACAGAAAAAATGAATATGTGGCACTGACTTCAGGGTAAGCAATAGCTAGGCAGGGGATGATCAGAGCAGCTGAATGCACAGGAAACACTTCAAGGTTAGAGTAGGCCTGGAATTGGGTCCTGAAGAGCTACGTGGTTGAGCTATAAGGCAAGGCCACCAGCTTAGAAGAGAAAGTAGAAGAGGCAAAGCCAGGACCTGGAGGAAGTCATGTGCTCAGGGCTCTAGGAACATAGATAGCTTCCCTGAGAAAATGATACAGGTCAACCTGGGGGGAAAGGGTGGGGGATGTACAGCCCAGGTAGGGTCATTTGTGGCCAGGGGCAACTGGCCCAGGTCTGAAGCTATCCCAAGCATGGGCTGCTGAGCCTGAGGGCTGCTGAGCCTGAGGAGCAGTATTTTGAGGCATAGCACCCAGGAGACTTTGATTAGAAGGCAGCGACTAGTGGTCTGGAATGGAGGGTGTATGCCAGCAAGTATGAGAAAGGTGAAACTGGAAAGGTGGTCTGGGTCAGGGTGAAGAAGACCTTGAGACCACCTGCCATGAATCCAGACCTGAGCACCAAGAGTCTGCTGTCCTCACCTGCCCATCCTATCCTCCATCTTATCCCTTTAAGCAGCCCTGGATGTATACAAAGCCCTCCTAGCTGTGCCCTCCTCTAAGTGCCAGTAGTTCTGGTTCCCTCTTCCCTCCCCCAGACCTCAGCTGGGCCAGCTCCAGCTGGCTGGTGTCCACGCCATCCAGCAGCACTCGCCCCGAGCTGGGCTCCAGCAGCCGGAAGAGCACCAACAACAGGGAAGACTTGCCGGAGCCCGTGCGGCCCACAATGCCCAGCTTCTCTCCAGGCTGCACGCGGAAGGTTACCCCATCCAGGGCATTTGGCAGCCCTGGCCGGTACACCAACACCACATCCTGGAACTCCACGCTCCCCTGGGACAGCCAGCCGATGCCCAGCTGGTGGGTCTGTAGATGGCAGACAGAGGGAGACGGGTGAGGCAAGGAAAGCGATGGTGAGGAGGGGGTGGAGGGCAGGGCGATCATGAGAAATGGATGGTGTGAGAGCAGAAAGGGGGCAGTGCAGGAGACATGGGGAGGATGGACACAGGATGAGGGACACAGTGAAGAATGGTGGCGATCCTGCGGAGAGACTAAGGGAGCTAAGAGGGATGTTGAGGAGCAAAGAGAAGGAACAGGGGAGGGGGAGACTGGGACCTTCAGGAGGGGCCTTCAGGGTTCCAGAGCTCTCGCCTGGGGTGGGGGTGCAGGCCCACCTGCAGCGGCCGGTCCTGGGGTTCCTGGGGCAGGTCACAGGAGTATTCCTCTAGTCGCTCGACACTCACCAGCATGGCTTCTGTCTGCGTGAAGCTGCTCACCAGGCCTGAGAGCAGGCCCGTCAGGGACAGGGCATAGGACAGTGACAGGCCCACCAACCCTGAGGGAAAGAAGCACTGGCTGCTGGGGGAGCCTGGACACTGGCACGTGTGTGGGGAGAGAACAGAAGAATCCCAAGCTATGGACCATGGGCATTTAAAGAAAGCAGGAGGGCCGGCCCAGTGGCGCACTGGATAGTGCGCTGCTTGGGAAGCGCGGCGGCGCTCCCGCCCGAGGGTTCGGATCCCACATGCGGACCGGTTCCCGCTCGCTGGCTGAGCGAGGCGCGGGAGCAGCACCGAGGGTTGCGATCCCGTTGCCGGTATCCGGTCCGGTACGGGGGCAACACTGAGGGTTGCGATCCGTAGCCGGACACGGAAAAAGACAAAAAGACAAAAAAAAAAAAAAAAAAAAAAGAAAGCAGGAAAGGTGATGGGACCTAGGCCAGGACCACAGAGCTCTGGATGCAAGGGAGTGGAGTGAGCCTGGAGAAGCTATAAGGGGTGACAGATGGAAGACTTAGGTGGGCCAGGGGCAGAGTGGTGGGGACGCAGGGTAAGAGCAGAGAAGGGACTCAGATGAGAAGATCAGAAGATTCATTCTAGACCTAGATCCACCACCACTTGGGCAAGTCACTCCTTGAGACAGTTTCCTCAACTCTTAGTGGGGGGGGGGTGATGATGATAATCATGACACATCCTCACAAGAACCCTGGATGGGAAGTAAAAACGTTGGGGGGACAGGGCAGGGAGAGGTCTGAGGCAGGGCTTGGAATGACTTGCTCGAGGTAGGGGTGAAGGGCCTGAGGGTGGCACCTGGATTTGCAAGGCCCTGCTGGTGCTGTACCAGGGCGATGCCCGCGATGGCACTGACCACTGCTGCCCCCATGAGCTGTAGCCGAATGTCCAGCCACTGCATCGTGGCACTGGCAGCAAACTGGCACCTCTGGTTTAGCTCCAGGAGTCGCTGGTTCTCCTCCTCAAACCTGGGGGAGGCCAGGAGGGAGGTGAGGCCACTCCATTATTGCTCTGACCCACCCAGATGCCTTTCCTTAGAACACCTTCTTCTTGGGAGCTGATCTATACACCCACAGGCCTCACCTCAGGGATACAGAGATGCCAAGGTGCTCTTTCACAGGCAGGGCTGTTCTGCCTATCTTTTTTGTTTTTTTCCTCTTTCCCCTGGTGCTCTCACCCACCCTTCCCTTCTCCCCCAAGAGGCCTGAACCCCCGCCCACCTCACATGCCCCTCTTCTCAGGTGTTCCTCTTCTCTCCTTCCCCCAGCACCTCATCTCCCTGTGTTCTGGTTGGGAGGCAGACTTCACACACCTGTAGGTGGCCCCAGCGGCCCGGAGCACAGGGAGGCCAGCCAAGGTATCGGCCAGGTGGGTATAGAGTGGAGACAAGGTGAGGCTGCCCAGGCGCCGCAGCTCCCTTGCAGAGGCCCTATAGTGGTGCTGCACGCGATAGTAGATGATGCTCAACGGTGGCAGCAGCAGCAGCAGCCAGGGCAGGCCAGAGCCTAGCACAGCCAGGAGGCCCAGCAGGCCTGCTGCGTTGGCCAGGAGGACATTGAGGATGAAGGGCAGGCTGTCATCTGCACAGGCCACGTCAGAGGAGAAGCGGTTTAGGACCCGGCCCGTGGGTGTGGAGTCGAAGAAAGTTACTGGCACCTGGGAGAGGGAGTAGTGGTTAGGCAAGGGCAGGGTCTGGCAGAAAAGGGGTTGGTGGCAGCCTGGAAGGAGGTGGGGTGCAGAAGAAGCCCAAGATAGAGAATAGAAAAGGAGTAAAGTATTCCCGGAGTTAGGGTGTAAAGAGAACTATTGAGGAGCTTGGAGGAAGAATATCCCAGTGTGGGGAAGACAGAGATTCTCCAGCCCTCTGGCCAGTGACGACCCTAAGAGGCCATGCTGGCCATTTCTCTCTCTCTGGGCTAGATATACCTACTACCCTTTCAAGGGCAGGGAGCTCATCTCTCTCCAGAAGATGGGGACTTCAGGCTAGTGAATGAGATTCAGTTGGATGTCAGGAGGAGCATCTTGGTTGGTCGTGGCTGGACAGTGTCGTGAGGACAATAGTCAAGGATGGTATTATCTCACGGTTAAGAGCTCAGGCTCTGGAGTTGGATTGCAACTCAAACTCCAACACTGCCATTTAGTAGATGTGAAACTCCAGGCAAGTGACTTTTAATCTCTCAAAGGCCCCTGTTCCTCATCTGAAAAATGGGGACAATAATGCAACTGCACCTCACAGGGCTGTGAGTAGGATTAAAGGCCATATATAATATAGCAGTCAAATGCTTAGCACAGCCTGCCTGGCCTGGAGTAAGTGCTCAATGATTGCTAGCTATATGGACTACTATTGGGAGGTACAGTCTCAAAGACAGTCTTTCCCTTCACCTGCCTTCCCTGTTCCTCATCACTGCCTCTACTTTGGGAACAGCCCTATCTTAAGGCAGGGGACTAGGCCGAATGACTTTCTGAACCGCCTCCTAGTGCTGGTTTATGAGAGATGAATTCCTTCACAGCATGAAGATATCCCCTCCTTGGCTGCTAGAGGACAGCAGCAGAGTGGGCACTGCTCCCTGACAGGCAGTGGAAAGAGCCACACAGCGCTGGGCTCACAGCCTTGGCTTCACACAACCAGCCTTGGCCAGGACACTTCAAGTCTCAGTGCCTCAGTTTCCGCAGCCTCAAACTGGGGATAAGAGATCCTACCTCACAGGGTTATTGTGAGGCCTTAATAAGACAATGGACAAGAAAGGGCTTTGTAATAATAACAACATTAATAATAACTGCTAAGTGAGCACTTAGTGTGTGCAACTATCCTAAGCACCACCCATGTGCTCATTAATCATCATAATAAGTACATGGGGAAAGCAACAGATTAGATGTACACATAAACATATCAACAGGATGGAGATTAGAAACAGCCCTAAATAAAAACTGAAAGAAAAAGAATGCAAGATCTAACAAAATATAATTCATATAAACTAAAAATACATTAACACAAAACAGGCATTTTGCAAAAAAGACAATAAAAAAGATACATACTGAACACAGGATGGTTGCTTGTCAAGAAAGGAAGGGGAGGGGCTGGCTGGTTAGCTCAGTTGGTTAGAGCACAACCTTATAACACCAAGATCAGGGGCTTGGTTCCCCATACCAGCCAGCTGCCAAAAAAAAAGGAAGGGAGAAGAAATGGAAATAGAGTATGCAGGTAAAAGGGGATGAATACAGAAACAATACAGAAAAGGGGCCTTGTGTGAACTAAGGAGCAAGCCTTCTGCACCTGAAGTCTCAAACTGAAGTAACTCTGTGGTAGATTCTCTTATTTGCCCCATTCTACAGATGAGATGGAAATAGAGTATGCAGGTAAAAGGGGATGAATACAGAAACAATACAGAAAAGGGGCCTTGTGTGAACTAAGGAGCAAGCCTTCTGCACCTTAAGTCTCAAACTGAAGTAACTCTGTGGTAGATTCTCTTATTTGCCCCATTCTACAGATGAGAAACTACAGGCTTAAGTAGCTGAGTCTGAACCCAGGCAGCCACTCTGCTCTGCAGCCTCTCAGAGGTTGTCACGTGCAGCGCCCATATGTGAGGAGCTATTTTATCCTGATGACCAGGGATGTAAAATGGGCCCGAAGGAGCCCATGTACTGGGAGGACACTCCACAGGGCTAGGGCTGTGCTTCCCCATCCTCCCTGCCCCCCATCCCCTTACCATAAGGACTCGATGCAGCAGGCGGCGATGTAGCATGGTAGCTGCTTGGAGGGTGCCTGCTGCAAAGAGCACTGCCCGGAGAAGGGTGCAGAGGGAGTTGACACCAGCAATGGTCGCATACACGGTGAGGTAGAAACGGATGTCGGAGGAGCCATTGTGGACAGCTTTGGGCAGCAGGAACACTGGGTTGCTGGGTGGTAGGGAGGGGGCTGTGGGTAACCAAAAGTAGGACCACTCAGGGGTCCCTTCCTCTCCTCAGTGCCACTTCTCCCTACTCTCCAGTAGACACAGCCCCTGGAATACCAGCCCCCAACCCTCGCTCCCTGCCTGGCAACCACTCTGAGGGTACCAGGCCTATTCCCAGCCACGGCCACTCACTAGAGGCTTCCGGGGGAGAAGAGGAGCAGCTGTGGAGAGAAGAGCCCTGTGGAACCCAGGCTGGTGGAGGCTGGTACCTCCTGGGAGCTATTCTTGGATGCCTTCAGTTGAGAGATCCAGTGGGAGAGCCACCAGTCAGCGGCATTCCGCGTGGCTGGGTGGGACAGGAAGGAGAAAGCTATGAGAGAGACTCGCCTACTTTGTTCTATTCAAACACCCCTTCCTCTGCCTTTGACTCCAGTTCCTACCCTTCATCATCCCCCTGGCCTTTCATCATCTACCTTGCCACCATCCCATATCCTCCCTAGTGTGTGCTTCTTTCCCAGGCCCATCATCCTGCAGCTCTGGGGAGAGCATGATCTCATATTTGCAGAATGGGAGCTGGCCTGGGGACAGGTCAGAAGACGGCTACAGGGCACACCCCTCTGGCCCTGGGACTCTCTTAGAATTGGGGGCATGCCTTTTATCCCAACTGTTGCCAATGCTTGGTAAGCCTCTGGGTTTTGTAGTGATTTGTACAAGGTGATGTGTGGTGATGGACATCTGGACAACATAGTGTGGGTGGGCTAAGGGACTCTTGGGTACATGCTCACCTTGCATGAGGAGCAGAGAGAAGAGCATGGCTAGGCCCAGGCCCCAGCCCATGGCCCTCCAGTATGCTTGGTACACATGCAAGGCCACGGCGCCCTCCTTCTTGCTTTCTTCCTGCAGCAGGCGGCCAGATGAGCTCTGCTCCACCTCCAGCCCCACCTTTGTTTTCTCTGGGTTCTGCACTGATGGGGCTGTGTCTATGAGAATCAGGGAGACCATGGAGAAATTCAGCTTGCAGGATGACAATTGAAAACTCAGCTTTTCAGAGGAGCAGGCAAGCTTTGTCAAAAAAGATCTCTACAGTGTGGTGGTGAAAAGCAAGCCCTTTCCTCCCACCCTTAGGCCATACCTGAATCAGACTCTTGTCCATCCTCAGTCGAGGCTTTGGGGACAGGTTGTACCAATGGCAGAATCTCAGAGGGAGGCCCTGGAAATTAGAAGGGAAGGTTAGGAGGGGGCTGCTCTAGGTCTGTACCACACCTTGCTCAATGTGCCTGCAGATCCCATTCCCATTCTCTTTGGCCCTCCTCTCTAAAACACCCTCTCGGGTCCCTGGCCTGGACCCCCCAGACTCTGAGCAGGACTCATCAAGTTCATCCCTCTGCACCTGGAGTCCAAATAGCACAGAGGGACAAACGTTCATCCCGAGAAGAGTCTTAGCCACACGTGAACACCCTGTCCAGAGCCACCTCTCATTACTGCAGAGCTTTTTTTCATGCTTCACTCAATTGCTAACACCCTGGTTGAGCCTCAGTTCCTCCTGTTTCTCTCCCAGTGAATTTGCAGGTGGTCAAGTCACTCTAGATAATAATCCTTTAAAGTTTTTTGTTTTTCAAAGACTGTTCTAAACCTGACTGCTTTCTCTTCTCTGAGACTGCAGACTGTTCTCAGAGATCCTGGGCCTCTAAGTTCCCAAGAGTACCCAGTCACAAAGCCCATGAGTCCCAAATCTGCTGGCATTTTACCATTGTGCTCCATTTCCCTTCTGTTCTCTGTTTCCTCACACCAGTCCTATGAAGGCAGGAAGAGGCAATGACCAGGCTCAGGCAACACATGGAGGGCATGGCCGAGTCTGCACCTGACAATCCACCTGACTCTCTTCCCCATTAAACCTAGATAGATGCCTCCCTCCCTCAGCCAGGCTCCTGTCCCACATTACCAGCCTGGATGAGGCGCCCAGCCTCCATCAGCAGTACCACATCAGCCCTCTCCAGGAACTCAGTGCGGTGGGTGCAGAGCAGCCGAGTGGTGTTGCTCAGTAAGCCCAGGATGCACCTGTGCAGCAGGTGGTTGGCCACATCTGCATCCACAGCAGCCAGGGGGTCATCAAGGAGATAGAGCTCCTTTTCCTAGGGAGAAGTAGGGGCACCATGGGCGCTAGGGCCCAAGTCCTCTGGCCAGAATCCAGAGGGTCTCCTTGGAACTGATCTCAAGCAGTCAGAGAAGACAGTTGAGAAGAACTCTGGGGGCTACCACTACAGTAGCAGAGAAGGAGGTGAGTCCTGAAGGTGGACTTTCCTCCAGTCAAGCAAGGCCAGTGCCCCAGGGCCAGTGCTCAGCTTTGCTGGGTCCCAGTGCGTCATGCCACGTGATTTTTAAAGGGCTTTAAATTCTGCCTTGAATCTGCAAAAGGGGGATGGGATTGCCAACATCTCAGGGACATGGAGTAGAGGAGGGAAGAAACCAGATTCTGATGAAAATACCCCTAACCCCTCCCTGCCTCCACTTAGCCAAGCTCCCAAGGCTCTGGACTCCTTCCATCTCCCTGCCCCCGCCATACCCCACCTTTAATTTACCTGGTAGACAGCACGAGCAAGGGCAATCCGGGCCCGCTGTCCCCCACTGAGGGTCACACCCTTCTCCCCCACCTCTGTCTGGTCTCCAGCAGGCAGGATCTGATGGAACAGGCAGCCCAGTGGGTTGTCAAATTCCCCAATACCTTCTACCCCATTTCCTATCCCTTGGCAGGAAAGAGATGACAGGGCAAGAGAGCTAGGGAGCTTGAAGAGCTTGGACTTAAGTTTGGGGTAAACGAGTCAGAGGAGACAAGCCATAATTACAGCAACATCTAGCATTTATTGAACACTTACTATGTGTTTAGCACTTTACAGGCATTCCCTCATTTGAACCCCACAAGAACCTTATGAAATTGATATTATTTCCCTTTCACAGATGAAACCAAAACTCGGAAAGATTAACTACCTTGCCCATAGCTAGTAGGGGGCAGGAAACAAACCCAGATTCTTAACCAGTCACCCTTACCACCCTTCTTTTTTTAACAGGCAAGGATGACGATGGGCAAATTTGATGTGAAAGCTTTCATACGTTTTTTAGAGAATGAATGTACCTCAACCCTTCCTATAGCCTCAGGAGTGGTCTACTAAGCTAAGGGGTCTCTATACCCAGAGGAAGCTCTGTGCTCCACCAGATGGTATAAGTCCCCTGAGGGAAAAGCTTTGTTATTCATCTCTTAGTACCTAGAACAGTACTCAGGACCCAACAGACATTTGGAAAATGCATGATATAGAAACAAATGGTAAATGGACACAGGAGCCCTGTGGTCAAAATCAAATGTCCTCCTTTCCAGGGAAGTTCCGCAGTTATCTGGGCAGGGTAGTGTTGGTAATAGTCCTGGAAGGGACATGTGGGTTGGGTAGGGAAGTCATAAGAGTAGCCAGACCTGTGTAGAGCTAAGCCTCATAGGGAACCCTCCCCTGGCCTCTGAGGCCTCAGGGCTCTCCTAGCTGCTGTGTGGAACACCCAGTCACCATCACCCCTCTGGGCCTATGGGGAAAAGGGAACCGAGCAGCTGGACAATCTGGGGGGACCAAAGTCTGATGCCTAGTCCAAGATAAATGATGCCCGAGAAAAGCAACCCCTTTCCAAAGAAGCAAGTCTCTGGTGTCAAGGACACACAGGGAAGCAGGCAGCTTAGAGGTTTCAAGGTCAGGTACTCACGCTGAGGTCGTCATTGAGGGCACAGGCCTCTAGCACTTTCCCGTACAGCTGGGCATCAAATGTCTTCCCAAAGAGGATGTTGTCTTGGATGGTGGCAAACTGAATCCAGGGTTCCTGGGTGGCCAGGCCAAAGCCCTTGGACAGCCCCCACACTGCCACCTGCCCACGGAGCCTGCAGAAAGATGGGCCAGCAGCATGGGGACCAGCTCCCACTGGGCCCCTCCATGCCCTGCTTCCCAGAAGTCTCCCCAGACCATTGTCTTCCATGTTACACGATTCTCTGGTCTGGCAGTTGCTGAGGTCAAGGGGTCCTAATACAGCTGTAGGCTCATTCTGGACTAGGAAGGGAAGAAACTGCTCTTCGGCTACAGCCAAGCAGCTGTCATGTCTAGATGTGCTCAGGAGCTCAGAAGAGAGTATGGCCGCCACACTGTACTCATCCTCACCTGAAAACATGAAGGCCCTGCCTCAAACCTGTGCTCCTCTTTGGATCCCTTCCCTGTACAACCATATTTTCTGAAAGAATAGCTGGCACCGGATGTTTCCATTTCTTTTCCTCACTCACTATTATGGCACTTATAATACTCTGATGTCATGATTATGATGATTCACTTTTTCTTAATTGTTGCCCCCACCTTTCCAGACTGAAAACTTTCCCAAGTAAGGGACCATGATTTGCTCTTCTTGGTACTCCTGGCCCCTAAAAGGTGCCCAACACATAGAAGGGGCTCAGTAAGTATTTTCTAAAGGGCAGGACTGGGGACCGGGTGTGCTGGAGGTTAGTTACCTGTGCAGCTCCCCAGCAATGGCGGCCAGCAGTGAGCTCTTCCCACAGCCCACCTTCCCCACAATGCCCACCAGCATATCCTGCAAGAAAGCCACTTAAGTCAATGTCCCCTGTTTGTGGAGGAAGGGATAGAAGGGGAAGGGATCTCCCTCCTGAGTCTCTGGCCTGCCAATTCTCCCACTAAGTCTTCTCTCTAGGCCTCAATTAGTCAGTAGGGAAAGGAATTCTCTACCCCACAGGCTGAGCTGTGCCTCAGTGACTGACACCTTGATGGATCTAGAGAAGGAGGGTGTCTTATTCTCCACTCAGAGTTGCTATCAGTTTCACCGTCTGTGTGAAGGGCCTCTGAAGGGCAGCAGCATGGCAGAGGGAATTGGAGAAAAACACCCAAGAACTCCCAAGACAAGCTCTGCATCAGGCATCCCAGAATGGGGACAGCATAGGAAAGAACTCAAGGCCTTGGGGCCTGGATGCCAGGCTGGCTAAGTCAACCTGTGGCTAGATTTCTGATATCTCAGGGCAAAGAGCAGTGTTCTACACAGGTGCCCATTTCTGTGATTTGTAGTTTAAAATTTTCTGTTCTTCCTTCATTTCTTAGTTGTAACATACATTCATGGAGCTTTCTCCCTGCTCAAAAAGAAAAAACAATTCCTTTTCTAGAAATAGACTGGGCTCCCAGAAGCTCTATTTTTCTGTGATGTCCCCACCATGCCAGCCAGGGGTGCCCCATCCATGAGTGGGCACCAGACTAATCTGAGACCCTCCCTGGGAATTTAGGATCAGGATACAGGAGCAGCTTCTCCCTCTTGTTGGCTGCAGCTTATAAGTGGGAGGGCTCTCTGTGGTCACAACTTCTGCTCAATGGAGAGTGGGCCCACAGAGAGGAGAACAAGGCAAATACAGAGAGAAGCAGACAGAAGGCAGAGAGCTCTGCGAGTTGAGGCCTGGTTCCAAGCCGTTTCTAAGATCTGGCTACATTCTTGCCTTTGGATTCTGCAATTTGTCTCTATATCCTTACTGTAAATTCTTGTTTGCTTAAGCTAGTTCCAGTGGTTTCTATGACTTAAATCCAAAAAAGCCCCAACTAAAAGAAAAAAAAAAAGCCCCAACTAACACATTAATAAAATTCCTTTGAAAAATTCCAGCTGTGTCTTGCCTGAACTAAAAGGAAAAACAAAACATACAGCCCAGGCCAGAAACATGAGCCAAATGTGGTAGAGGCAATTCACCACTACTGGCAAATGCTGGGTTGAGTTGTGGGGCAAGGGGTTGGACAAAGGTCAGGAGAGAGTGAAAACTCAGGACTGGAGGAAAACAGGAGTTGCTTTCCTGCTAGGAATGTTCCTGTTTTAAATTCTTTGACTGTGTATGTGTGAGTCACAGGGTGTGATTACTTTTCACCAGGCTAAATAGAGGATCATCTATCCCATTCACAATCTCTCTTGGAAAGGGTTGCTTAGTCTCTCCCGCAGGTCCCCAGCCTGGGGGAAAAGCTGGATGAGCCCCGGGGTCTGTTCTGAACCCTATAGCCTTTGAGGGACATGGAGAGACAAACACACCTGTTGGTCTGAATTGGGTTGGTGTGAGCTGCCTAAACACCAGGGAAAGGTGCCACTACTCTGAAAAAGCTGTGTGGAGGAATAAGATTCAGAGATGAGGTGTCATCTCTCATACTGGAACCTGTTCACCAAACACTTCCACTCTGTCCCTCAGCAATTAGAGCTATAGGGCCATCCAGCTAGCATTGGCTCAGTCCTTGCTTATCTGTCACTGGGTCCCCATCTCCATTAATCTGGGGACTCTCCCAGGGTATCTGTCCAACAAACCTTTTTTACTTTGAGGTGACTGATGAAGGTCTGCTGGCTAGTTCCAATGGGATCCCAGGAGAAAAGGGCTCCATCCAGCTCTAATACTGTAGATGGCTCTGTGGGGGGATCTGAAAGGGAAGAAGCCACTCAACTTGGGCTCCTTATCTACCACCAATCTGCCTGAGGAAGGTAAGCCAGGGGCATGTCATTGACTCACCTGTCCCATAACTTCCTGTCCAGAGCTAATTCAGTCTCAGTCTTGGTTTGCTCTGCCTGGCTTCTGCTGCCTCTGACTCTTCTTGGCAGCATGTATACATAGTACCCAAGTGGCTACATTAGTAGGCATAGTACCCAAGTGGCTACATTCCCCTCCTCACCTGTGCCAGGTTCTGCCCTCCAGCTTCCAATTACCTGGGCTGTAGTAGGCCTGAGGGTTGTGGTTTGGAAGATTGAGGAAATGCTGGATCCGGTCCAAGGACACTTTGGCTTCCAGGAGGCCACTGATCACCCAAGGGAAGTTGTTGAGGGGAAAAATGAGCATGCGTACCAGTGCCAGGGCCGTGAACACCTAGCAGGGTGGAAGTGGGGTAAAGCATCATCCAAAGCCCAAGAGCTATAAGAGGGCCTGCTCTGAGGGTGGCCCTGTGAACAGGTCTGTGGAGGGAAGAACTGGGCAGCAGCAGAACTGGGGAGATAGGGGGACAATCTTGGGATTAGAGGTGGCAGAGGTGGCCACTCCAAGAATCCCAGAAATTCCAGATATTCCTCCAGGGATCCAGTTGCATCTTGATAAGCACACAGGCCTAGTTCATTTTGAGACCTCTTCAGAATTTCTAAGCAGCAATGTCACCTGGTCCTGGCCAGACTCAGCACTGGATTATGGATTTTTTCCCAAGACCATTAGAATGAGGATGAAGGGACCTACCCTCAACCCTGGGCCTGACTGGAAGGTAGAGAGGAAGAAAAAGAATTCCTTCATAGAGAGGAGGGTTAAATATCCGAAGTCCCAGAGAAAGGTGCATTCAGAAAGTTTCCCTTGGGGCCGGCCCGTGGCTCACTCGGGAGAGTGCGGTGCTGATAACACCAAGGCCGCAGGTTGGATCCCATATAGGGATGGCTGGTTCGCTCGCTGGGAGAGCGTGGTGCTGACAACACCAAGTCAAGGGTTCAGATCCCCTTACCGGTCATCTTTAAAAAAAAAAAAAAAAAAAAGTTTCCCTTGGCTGGGAAAGGATGAGATACCCAGGGGTCCTTCTGCCTCCTTCCCAGCCAGCCCTGGGGGCCTGAGCCCACCTCTCCACTCCACTGCAGTCTCCTCACTGCTGCCTCCCTCTAGAGCTGTCCCCTCCCTTCCCAGGCCTCACCTTTGTGGCAGTGAGCTGGTGCCCCATGAGAACATAGGTGATAAAGATGACGATGGAGATGACAACTGGCAGGGCAGCCCACAGGTACACACAGGCCGCGTCCAGGTATTTGATGACTCGGAGTCGCCCCAGCTCTCGAGCCCGACAGGCCTCTACTCGGGCACCCAGTGCCTGCTCCCACCCACAGAACTTGATGACCCGAATGCCACTGAGCAGCTCTGTCATGAGCTAAGGACAGAGGACAAGAGAACAGTGTGAAGTGGAGGCATGCTCATGTGTCACCTGCTCTGTCAAGTCTTCCCCAGGCTCCTGGCAGAGAACATCAAGTACCCTGAGCTCCCAGGCAGGAAAGTGACCTACTCCCTTCCCCACAGCTCACCAAGAGGGAGCTGGGGTTCTCCTAGGCCTCTCCACATGCAACCCTAGATGAGAATGTGGACGACTTGGTCCCTGCTCTGTCACTAAAAACCCATTTGGTCTCAGGGAGATTACTTCCTACTTACTAGGGTTGCTGCTTAGGGTCAGATGAGCTAATACTGTAATATTACTAATGGGCCACACTTATGAGTATTTAGCACTTACTTTGTGGTAGGTACTGTGCTAAGCCTTATCTCTTACGATCTTCACAACAACCCTATGAGGTGGGCTATTATCCTCATTATACAGAGGAGGAAGTGGAGGCCTAATTAGGTTAAGTGATTTGTCTGAAGTGATTGGACTGGTAAGTGGTAGTCTGAACCCAGATCTGTCTTTCTCTAATTTAACTTCTAAGCTCCTAACTTCTAAGCTATGCTCGCTCCCTCAGGCAGCGTGCATGGCAGGACCTGGGGACCCAGAAGCTGGGTGGGGTCTCCAGATTGCTGCGGGACCCCAAGTAGCCCCTCACCTTAACCCGTGCATCCTTGTGCTGTAGCATCTCCTGGTTGCTGGACATGATGCGGGTGGCAATCATTTTGTTGACAGGCACCAGCAGCAGTGCCAAGATCAGACCACCCACGAAGGCCACGCCCACCTGGTGGTACAGCAGGTAGAGGGTGATGGCCAGCTGCAGGGGCAGGCCCCAGGCTTCATGGAAACTCCCAGCAAAGTTAAGCAGCCGCTCTGAGTCAGTGCCTAGTAGGTTCAGGGCCTCTCCGGCAGGAGGGCGGCTGGGCCCCAGCTGTAAAGACTTGTGGTACAGGATGTTCAGCACAGCCCCTCGTGCCTGAAGTTTCACCTTACATACCTCATACCCATACTGATTCTGTAGCACAGCGCCTAGCACAGCCCCACCAGCTAGCCCCAGAGCATACAGCAGGCCATGGGTTAGTGGCTCCTGCCCCTCCTCCAGGAAGCCCACCAGCAGGGAAAGCAGCAGGGGCCCTGAGAATCCTAGCATGGTCCCCACCAGCTTCAGCAATCCGAGTGCCAGGTAGCACCGCCCAAAGGCTCCATACAGGGCCCTCCACAGCTGGGCCCCCTCCTGCCAATGTGCCTGGAAGGCATGGGCCAGGTAGTTTGTATGCAGCCTGTGGGGGAGGTGGCAAGTGTCCTGGGGCTGCCGGAGCTCTCCACGGGCCCCGCGGGCCAGCAAGGGTGCCAGCCAGGCATAGGAAAAGCGTGACAGCCAACTCTCCCCATCTTCAGCCACCTCGGGTTCCTGATCCTCAGACAGGAGAGGCTCCTGAGCCCAGTGTTCTTGTGGCCCCCCAGGGGCTGCCCAGCCCAGTCCATAGGCCAAGAGTGCAGCTAGCTGCAGGATGAGAAGGCATAGGCGGGCCAGGGGTCCTGGGAGAAGTGGGGGCAGAAGTGTACCTCGCTGGAAATGCCATAGCAGGGTAAGCACTAGGGCTGGGGCTGGAAGGAAGGCTGCTAGAGCCAAGGCCAAGGGCCCCCGGGAACGACCATGAGGGGAATGAGCCAAGGCCCACAGGGACAGGCTATGGCTGATCCAGGCCACAGCTGCCACACATCCTGCCAGCACCTCTAGCCCTATGGGCCCTGGACCTGCCCCTGGTGGCAAAGTAACTGGAAGGAGGTCTAGCAGCGGGAAGATGGAGAGCAGGAAGGAAGCTCCAAGTCGGAGGCGCCAGCCAGAACTGCAGGGGAGGACGTAATCTGGAGTCCTGGGGACAAGGGGGAGGAGAGAAAAGGAGGCACATCATGGCTGACTCAGAGCGCAGACATACCCCTCACCTCTGACAATTTACTTACCTAGAGGGAATCAACTCCCTCTCCTGCCTTGCACATCTTATCCCCACCCCACTTTACCTTGGAACCCAGGGCCTTTTCTCCCAGGAAGTCTTCCCAAATTAACCCAATCCATTTTCTTTTTTCTCTTTTTTTTTTTTTTTTAAAGATGACCGGTAAGGGGATCTTAACCCTTGACTTGGTGTTGTCAGCACCACGCTCTCCAAGTGAGCAAACCGGCCATCCCTATATAGGGATCTGAACTCATGGCCTTGGTGTTATCAGCACCACACTCTCCCAAGTGAGCCATGGACTGGCCCTGAAAAATCTCTTTTTAATCTATATCTTCTTGGTTTACAAAAAACATTCTTAATAAACAAAAGGTGACACCAAGGTCAAGGGTTTGGATCCCCGTAGTGGCTGGCCACAAAAAAATAAACTAAAATAAAAAAAATAAAAAATAAAAAAAAAAACCCAAAAGGCGATCTGTCTGCATTAAGAATCAAATACAGAAAACACATCTGCAGCAGTGAATATAAGAATGCCTTGAAAGTTCATATAAGAGGACTGGATCTGTTATGTCCTTTGTTGCAAGACTGGGTTACTGAAAAGGTTAAGTTGTAAACTAAATTGTTTTGGGTTTTCTTAAAAGTCCACCTGATGGCAGTTATATGGAATATATAGATTGGAATACAAATCAACCTTTAAGAAATCTATTTCCTAAGATGTGAGGATGGAAGAAAGAACGATGGGCCCTTGGAGGATAGTACGCTAGCCCCAAGTAGGCTATCAACCAGTCTCATAACCTCGGGCAGGTCTCTTTCCTTCTCTGTACCTCACTGTCCTCATCAATACAGTAAGCGGTGAGGAATCTAGACCAAAAGCCCGCGGAGGTTCTTTCTTGTCTAAGATTCTGGATCTCTCTAACACTTATCAGCAACTCATAAAGCCTCATAAGTGATAGCCACAATTTCTATTGGTTACATGATGGTCTTTCATGCCTTCTCAATAGACTGTGAGTTCCCAAAGAACTGTGCCAATTTTTTTTTTTTTTTTGGTGACTGGCTGGTAGAAGGATTAAACCTGGGACCTTGGTGTTTTCAGCACCACACTAGCCAATTGAGCTAACTAGCCAGCCCTGTGCCAATTTTTAATAGCTACTTCTCTGAGCAGACTGTAGATGTCTGTGCTGACTAACCCTCTCTAGACTTCTGTCTCATTCTACGTAAAAAACAAATCAGAATTCCTCCCAGACCAAGCAGGTCCACAGCTTCCCTTCTCCAAGGAATTCATCAGCTTCCTAATTCTTCTTGGATAGGGACAGTTTGCCCCCCTCAGACGAGGAACTCCCAAAGGCGAAGACCAGACTGCCTTCCTGCCTTCTCAGCAGCGAGAATGAGACCAACTTTTGTCATCTCTAGCCATACAAGAATTAAATACAAAAAATCAAGGTGAGTTTAACACCCACTTTATAGCATTAAATGCAGAAGGCTGAAAGTTTCGATTTTGCTCTTCCCTTGTACCTACTGATTCCTCTCTAGCTGTGTATACATATGCCTTTCTTAGCCTAGGAACACTGAGGTTTCATGGGTGGAAGTGGTGAGGAAACTACAACTTTTGCCCTACAACTTAAACACAAGTCATCCTTTTTGGCTAAAAACATTGTTCACCCAATTTTGCCTCCAATTCACAACAGCTGTATCTGGACATCTGAAAATCTGCAATAGTGATATTTCTAACATGCATTGGGACTTTTAAAATATGCCAGGTATTGCACTATGTGCTTAAATGCATTATCTCATTTACGCCTCCGAACAATGCTATGAGACTCAGAGAAGGTGGGTAACTTGCCCGAGAACAGCTACATTGCTGCAGAGTGATAATGCTCGGATTTTATTCTACCTCTGCCCTAGTCAAGATACTTCGCTATTCTGGTGACACTACAAAGAGGTGTGGATTGCAAGTGAGGTCTGCAGGCCCACACAGACAGATGTCTTGCACCCGTCTCTACCCACCTCGGGGTGCCCAAGTGGCAGGCACTGAGCACGGCGAGCAGCGCGTGGGGCAGGGCGCCGAGCACCAGCTGAGTGAAGCAGTGGCCCGTGGTGTCCCCCTCCCACAGCGGGAGCGGCCGCGCTGTGCTGGTACCGCACAGCTGGGCCAGGAGTTGCTCCATAGACGCCTCACCTGAGGGGAAGGCAGAGGGGGAAAGGGGTAGAGAGTGTCAGCCAGATCTGTGGGTACTTGCTAGCCGGGTCTCCAAGCCTCCAACCCCGCCCTCGAACCGAGACCTCCCCTCGCTTCGGACCCGAAGCCAACCCCACGCATTCTCGCGGTACCTCCAAGGGTAGAAAGGGTGGAGGTTTCGCTCCCCGGAGCTGGCAGATTTCTGGATTCTGGTCACCCACCCCGCAACCTCTCTTTGCCCTCCCCTGTTTCCCCGCCACCAGGAATCCGGAACCTCAAACCTGAAGAAGCTGCTTTGCGCCGGATTCCGATTTCCCGAGTACTGGCGGAAACAACAGAACGTGCTGCCGGGTCCGGGTGTAGCTGTATGCGCGTCTGGCGCCGCCTAGAGGCGGGAAGATCTGTCAGGCGATGTTCGTCCCGCCCATACACAGGGCGTCTGCGCGCATACGTACCCCTTTCCTCTTCGGAGGGCCTCTGTACGCAGGCGCGCCGCTGCCGTCGCGCCCTAGCGTTGGGCGCGCTGATATCGTCTCCCGTCCATCTGAACCAATCCGTGCTGTATATAGTGCAACGTCATTCATCTTCTCTCACGTCGAGTACTCGCTCCCATCTATCGACTGCACTCTCTAATTCTTAAAGCTTAAAGAGTTGGGAGGCCTGCTACATGGACAGATAATGCCACTTAGCGACACTTTCAAATTATTTTCTTCCTTATTCTAAGGCAGTATGACCAGCCTCGTTGAACCTCAGTTTCTTTATCTGTACAGCTGTTGGGGAAGTTACCCAGCCTCGTTGAACCTCAGTTTCTTTATCTGTACAGCTGGGCAAAAATACCAATACAAAAGTACTGTCGAGGGAGTTGAATAATTAATTTAGAGTGCTTAAGACAAGTGCTTTGCTTAGAGTCATCCTCCAATAAATAAATCTTTCAGCGAAGTAGTGGGAAGAACATGAACTTTGTATTTAGGTGGACCTGGGTTTGAATCCTTAGCCCACCAATTTTTAGCAGTGTGTGTTGAGCAAGTTACTTTTTGCATCTTAGTTTCATGATCTGTTTGTTGGGCATGACATTGGTATCTATGTTACACGAGTGTATACAGTGCTTGAAGAAAAGTTGCTCAACAAATGACAACTATGACTATCCCATTTAATCTCAGTAAGAAGCCTGAAGTTTCTCAATGTTAAGAAAGTTTCTAGAGGGCTGGCCCGTGACTCACTTGGGAGATTGTGGTGCTGATGGCACCAAGGCCACGGGTTTGGATCCCTATATAGAGATGGCCAGTTAGCTCAATTGGGAGAGCATGGTGCTGACAACACCAAGTCAAGGGTTAAGATCCCCTTACCGGTCATCTTAAAAAAAAAAAAAATTAATCCATGTATGTTTGCAATTCACACAATCTTTAATAATTAATGGATCATCTAGGCAATGATTATCAATGGCTGTTAACTTACAAAAAGGGTCAACTAGACATTGCACTCCTCCTAATGAAAAGTAAAAGTTCTTGCCAAAAAATCTAATCTGAATCTGATGGAGCTACTGGATCTAATTATCTACTTGGCAAGAAATACAAGAGATGGTTAAACAGTACTACAAGAACGAAGCTACCAATATCCAGATTATGAAAAGCTGTATAGAAGAAATGACCAACTTCTTTAACCAAATAAACCTAAAAGAAAAGAAGACAGAGAGGGTAATCTATAAATTAGAAGAAGCTTAAAAAACATGCTAACGGGCCGGCCTGGTGGCGCACTGCTATAGTGCGCCGCTTGGGAAGCGCGGTGGCGCTCCCGCCGAGGGTTCGGATCCCACATACAGACCGGCCGCTCACTGGCTGAGCGAGGGGCAGGAGCAACACTGAGGGTTGCGATCCCGTGGCCGGCCCCAGTCCGGTACGGGCGCGACACGACACTGAGGGTTGCGATCCGTTGCCGGGCACGAAAAAAGACAAAAAAAGGAAAAAAAAAAAAAAAACATGCTAACAAATTGTAATGTATGAATCTTATTTGGGACCTGATTTGGACAAATTATTTTTTTAAAGTGGTGAGACAATCAGAGATTTAACACTGTCGATATTGCATGATTTTCAGAATTAACGTTAAACTTTTAAAATGTGACAATGGTATTGTGGTTGTTTATTTTTTAAATCCTTTATCCTTAGAGATGCTTATTAAATTGCTTATGGATAAAATTATATGATGTCAGGGATTTGCTCCAGAATAATTGGGGGACGTTATTGAATAATTGGGGGACATTATAGTGAGTGGGAATATATTTTGAAACAAGATTGGCCTTAATTGATAATAGTAGGAGATGGGTGATTGGTACTTGGTTGTGAATTATATTATTCTCTCTACTTTGTATATGTTTGAAATTTTTTCATAATAAGGTTTATTTATTTATTTTGGCAGCTGGCCAGTATGGGGATCCAAACCTTTGACCTTGGTGTTATCAGTACTGTGCTCTAACCAACTGAACTAACCAGCCAGCCTAGTAAAGTTTTTTTTTTAATGGAGATGTATTAGTCCGTTTCTATTGCTTATAACAAAATACATGAAACTGGGTAATTTGTAAGAAAATGAAATTTATTGGGGCCGGCCCGGTGGCGCACTGGATAGTGCGCTGCTTGGGAAGCGCGGTGGCGCTCCCGCCGAGGGTTCGGATCCCACATACAGACCGGTTCCCGCTCACTGGCTGAGCGAGGTGCGGGAGCAGCACCGAGGGTTGCAATTCCGTTGCCGGTCCCTGGTCCGGTACGGGGGCAACACTGAGGGTTGCGATCCATTGCCAGACACGGAAAAAGACAAAAAAAAAAAAAAAGAAAGAAAATGAAATTTATTGCTTACAGTTTCTGAGGCTGGGAAGTTGGAAGTACAGAGAACACGGCTGGTGAAGGTCTTGGTGGTGGCGATAGTGATGGCAGGGTATCACATTGCGAAAATGGCAGAGCAGGAAGAGACTAACCTCATTGTCATTCACTCTCTTTTTAAAGCCCTCAGAACCACGCCCATGACCACTATTTTTAATCTATTCATTATGGCATGGTCCTGTAATCTAATCACCTTTTCAAGGCTCCACTTTTCAATTATCATAATAGGATTTCCCACCCTTGACAGTTACAGTGGTAATTACATGAACCTTGGGGAACACTATTCGGTCACCTACAGCAGGAGATTTGGAGAGTGTTTAACAGTGTTTCTCAAAGACTGGTCTGTGTACCATTTGCAGTAGAGTCATCAGATCTGGGCTGCTTTTTTCAAATCCATAGTACGGAGTCCACTCTAGACCTGTTAAATGAAAATCACCAGGAGAGGAGCCTGTGATCTTCCCCGGATGATCTTTACGCTCATGTTTAAGCCCCACAGATGTCAAGAGCCTTGTCCAGGATTGTGGAACTAATACATATCATAGCCCATGTTCTACACTGGAAATCGTAATATCCAAACCACACCCTTAACGCAAGGCTCTGTGGTACAATTTCTGTATCAGGAACCTCTCGCAAGACTTTACATTTGAGGGGTGAGGGATGGGGGGTGGACTAAAGTGTACAAAACTATACTATCTACCCTAAGTGGTTCACTGTGCAGTATATGCATGTCTTGAAACAACACACTGAACACCACAAAAGTAAATATAAATGAAATTGCAAAAAAAGACTTCATATTTGAACTGTCAGCCACTAAAATACATTATTTACTTTAATAACCTTTTTTTTATAAGTGCGATACCTTATAGAAAATGGGGAAATATAGAAAAACGCAAAGAAGAATTTAAAATACAGGGTGGCATAGTTTGCCGATTGCTAAATTTCAAGCAAGAGCCAGCTAGGTGAGGGAGACATCTGGGGGTGCCCCTGACAACCCATCACTTTCTGACTGCTTTCACCACCTACCCCCACAGTGAGTCCTGTGCCTACCATTCCTCTTGGCACTTACAGCAGGGCAGATGGATCCAAAATCATTAGTATTCTTCCCATTAAATCTTTGAATGTCTTCTCACTCACATACACACTCTTGGCCACACAGTTGCACACATCACATACAGACAGGCGTGCTCCTGATGTAACTCATGAAGCCTGACGAGTGAGTGCTTCATTCTCATATTTTTTTGAGTCCAGCACATATACTAACAGCTTTTTTCTCTTTGTACCAAGCTCCATCTTGTCACTGCCCCGCACCCCCCTGTCCCCAACACACCTAATTTCCCAGGCTTCAGAGAGTGTTGGAACCTCCAGGTCCCCAGTAAGACTTGTAGGTTATATAACCTCTTCTGTTCTGGAAAGCGTCAGAGGCAGGCAGGTTAATTTTAAGAGCTCCAGTTTAACCCAAGAGATAAAAGGCAAAATAAGAAAAAATTAACCTTTTTCTTCTTCTTTTTTTTTTTCCTTTTTGTCTTTTTTACTGACCGGTAACGGGATCGCAACCCTTGGCTTGGTGTTGTCAGCACCACGCTCAGCCAGTGAGCGAACCGGCCATCCCTATATGGGATCCGAACCCGTGGCCTTGGTGTTATCAGCACCGCACTCTACCGAGTGAGCCACGGGCCGGCCTTAACCTTTTTCTTCTTAGTGATCAAAAATGGTGACTGGCTGGATGACTGACTAAGCAGCTATTTGTAAGTTTTAACCACTATACACAAATATATCATCCTACACAGAGACTGAGCTAAACTGTTTCATTGCATCTATATAAGCAGGATGGGGTGAAGTTAAGCATGGGGGATCTCAGACCAGAGGACAAGGGGACTCTTTACAGAGCCGACTTCTGAAAGGAGGGTAAGTTGGGCAGATGATGCTTCAGTTAAAGCTTCCTCTTCTTCCCTTGATACCTTCCACCCCAACCCATGGCCAACTTGGTGCTCAGGCACACTGGGAGGACCCTAGTTCCCACTGACCATCTGAAATAGGTCCCCTCATTTTCATAACATCCTAATACCTTTATTTTGGATAAGAAGTTTGGCAAAGGAGTCATACCATCAGTAGGATCCTTTCTTTTTTTTTTTCTTTTTGTCTTTTTTTTTACTGACCGGTAACGGGATCGCAACCCTCGGTGTCGTGCCTGTACCGGGGACCGGCAACGGGATCGCAACCCTCGGTGTTGCGCCCACACCGCGCTCAGCCAGTGAGCGGGAACTGGTCTCCACATGGGATCCGAACCCTCGGCGGGAGCGCCGCCGCGCTCCCAAGCGGCGCACTCTCCAGTGCGCCACCGGGCCGGCCCAGTAGGATCCTCTCTGATGGTCACAAATAACCAAGTAATTTATATTTTCACAGGACATAGAGGAGATAATTCAAAACAGATAATTCCTCCATCCAATATCGTTTGGCCCCTTAGTTTCACCCACTCTCTTAGTGACATTTAC